AAGATAGGTCAACCAGACAAAAAATTAGCAAAGAAGTAGCAGAACTGAACCAGAGCTTGGAACAAATGATCTTGGTGGACATATACAGAGTGTTCCACCCAAACACAGCTAAATACACATTTTTTTCAGCTACACATGGGACATTTTCTAAAATAGACCACACACTAGTCCATATGTCATGCTTAAGTATATGTAAGAAGACAGAAATCATCTCATGCATATTATCTGACCACAATGCAACTGAACTGGAAATAAATCACAAAAGAAACCAGAAAACCCTATGAATACATGGAAATTAAACAACACCTTACTTGGCAACCAATGGGTCACAGATGAAATTAAACAAGAAATTGAACAATATCTACAATTCAATGAAAATTAAGCACAACTTATAGGAATTTATGGGATGTGATGAAAGCCCTTCTTAGATGGAAACTTATAGCTGTGAACTCACATATTAGGAAAACAGAACGGGAGCAAATAAACACTAATGCTGCACCTCCAACATCTAGAAAAGGAAGAGCAAACCAAATCCAAAACCCAAAAACAGGAAGGAATCATACAGATTAGAGCAGAAATTAATTTAATTGAGAGGAAGAAAACAGTTCAAAGAATTAATGAATCAAAAAGCTGGCTCTTTGAAAGATTAAATAAAATTGATAAGCCCCTAGCTAACCTCATCAAAAAGAGGAAAGAAAAAATTCAAATACAAGCAATAAGGAATGAAAAGGGTATGATTAACCACACACCCAGTGGAAATTCAGAAAATTATCGATAGCTACTTTGAGAATCTTTACTCGCACAGAATAGAAGACACAGAAGAAATGGACAGATTTCTAGAAAGGTACAAATTACCAAAACTGAATCAAGAAGATATGACAACTCTCAATAGCCCAATAACAGCCAATGAAATACAAGATAGAATTAAAAACTTACTGACTAAGAAAAGTCCAGATCCTGATGGATTCACAGCTGAATTCTACACGAAATTTACAGAAGATATAATCCCTATACTTCTCAAACTCTTCAATGAAATTAAAAAGGAAGCAGTCCTCCCAAAATCGTTCCTGGAGGCAAGTATTATACTGATACCAAAACCAGGGAAAGAAACAACTAAACAAGAAAAGTATAGGCCAGTCTTTCTCATGAACATAGATGCAAAAATCCACAATAAAATCCTAGCAAATAAAAGACAGATAATCATCAAGAAGATTATACACCATGACCAGGTAGGATTCATCCCAGGGATGGAAGGATGGTTCAATATATGCAAATCTAAAAATGTAATACACTATGTCAATAGAGCCAAATCCAAAAACCACATGATCATCTCAATGCACAAAAGGCTTTTGACAAGTCCAACACTCATTCATGTTCAAAGTCCTTCAGAAGATTGGAATAGATAGCCTATACTACAATCTGATAAAAGCCATCTGTGACAACCCAATGGCTAACATAATTCTAAATGGGGAAAAACTGATATCTTTTACTCTCAGATCTGGCACAGGACAAGGATGTCCTCTTTCACCACTCCTATTCAATATAGTTCTGGAATCATTAGCTAGAGCCATTAGACAAGTGGGAGA